TGCGGACTCCATGGGATGGTTCAGTGCTCAGCCAACTGGACGGGGGCATCCACGCTCCAGTGCCAAGTCCCCTCTCCAAACATGCTCCAAACACACTGCTGGAATCTCAGTAAGTGGCGACAATGAAGGACGAGCGGAGCAGCAGAACTAAATAAATAATAATTTAGAGCTACTGCATCTTAACGGGAGCATCTAGTCCCCGCTACCCCGTAAGTGCTCCGTGAGATCTAATTGGAGTTTCTTCAATTTAATGACGCCTGATGGCTGCTCACCGAGCGAGCCACATTTTACCAAGTGTCATAACAAAATTAAAGCCAGCTGTGACGAGCCAGAGCACCTGCCATGTACTTTACATTTATACAGCACCGTGTTGATATGTTTCTTGTCCACAGTCATTTCCACATTCTCGCAGTTTGCTTCTTTATATCACAGTTTATAACCTACGCTGTCTGGCATTGCGAAAAAGCTAAAATAAATCTAATTACTGAGCTGCTTGTGGGATTCTGGTGGTGGACAGAGGCAAATACATTCTGCTTGTTTTAGAAGTATTAACATACGGTTACTGCACGTTCTGCACTGTATTATATATATTATATAATGAAATACGGCATCGTCGTTTATGGTGTGCAGGGGTTCCCAGTGGATCAGCCATGGGCACACTAACGGTGCTTCCCCAGTAGTTCCCAACAAGGTGCCCACAGTCACCCTAATTTTTCCTATTATTTTTTTATATATGCACACACGTGTAGTGATATAGAACCATATTAAATGAATAATAAATGAGTATGAAATGCACGGAACTTTCTAGCAACTTTACAAAGGCATTATCAAAAGTTGATCAAATATCCAAATTAATATCCATTTGAAGTTAACATCTATGTGTCACCCATTCATACAGTGAAATCATTCTAAGTCCTCATCCATTACATTAATTGTAGGTGAGTTTATCCTTTCAATGTTGTAATATCAGTCTTTTAGCTGTCAAAAGGGCATAGGGAATCAATTTCCCCATCCATTTTTTTTTTTATTTCCATGAAGTGGTAAATAAATTTAAAAAGTTGTACTTCAGTGAATATTGAAAGACTATTCCAGTACAAAATTTATTGGTGTAATAACCTCCTACCAAGAAACAAATACTGGACGTACCAAAACAAATGTTTAAATGAAGCATTAGCTGAACTGCATCACCAGCAACTGGCTGAATTATTAAATAAATATTGCAGTATCCAAAGCTTTCACAGAGTAAGGCATAGCCTAAGGTCCAACAGACTAACAAGCAGATGCCAACTGGGATGATGCTCAGAGTAGTTTCTTGAACACCCAGATGCTTCTAAGGGACCAAAGAGTTTAGGAAACTCTGTAGTGCATGGAAATTATTATTATTATTATTATTATTATTATTATTATTATTATAACATTTCTATGCCGCCCCTTGCCGAAACCTCGGGGCGGCTTACAACATGATAAAATACATTGAAATACAATAGTACATAATAAATTACCATTAAATATAACAATACAAAAAATACATTGATTTACAAATACAAAATTAAAATTATCAGTATAAAATAAAAATATAGGAGGAGAAAGAGAAGGAAGAAGAAGTTGCCCAGGCCAGATCATATGTTTTAACAATTGAAATGATGTTTAAATAAAAAGGTCTTTACCTGGCGCCGAAAAACCAGTAACGACGGTGCCAGGCGGACCTCTTTGGGGAGTGAATTCCATAGGTTGGGCGCCACCGCAGAGAAAGCCCTCCTCCGGGTACTTACTCTCCTAATTTCTTTCATGGAGGGTTCCCGGAGAAGGGACTCTCCCGCAGATCTCAAAGGGCGGTCGGGCATATACGGACGTAAGCGCTCGTTCAGGTAGCCAGGACCCAAGCCGTTTAGGGCTTTGTAGGTCATAATCAACACCTTGAATTGGGCCCGGGCTTCAATGGGAAGCCAGTGAAGCTGACGGAGGACTGGAGTCATGTGAACATAACGCCCAGTCCTCGTCAGCAACCTGGCAGCTCTATTTTGCACCAATTGAAGTGTTCGGACTGTCTTCAAGGGAAGCCCCACGTAAAGCGCGTTACAGAAGTCTAGGCGGAAAGTCACCAGCGCGTGTGTCACCATCGCCAGGCAGTCGTACTCCAGGTAGGGGTGCAGCTGAGCTCCTCACAATCTGCTCTGGTTTTAGCCACCCTATATAGTGTGGTGCCATGAACAGACTTGGCCGCTTCACTCCTCACTCCTAATGCCAGATCATGGGAAAGAAAAGAGCAGCATTTGGTTCTGTGATGCATGTGAGACTCTTTCCATGAAGAAAAGATGGGCATGTTTTAATTTGAATTAATTCTATGCCACTTCATTGAGGGATTTGAGTTTTTGTGCTTTACTTTTTTATCCTAATAACCATCCCTATCACTGCTTATCGCACGCATTTCCCACAACAAGATGCTGACAGAGGCAAAAATGTATTCCAGGAAATGTGGCCAATTCAAGAGTTTAATCCAGGTCTCTGGGGCCTAAAATAAAACAGAATGACAGAAGTCTTTTCCTCTGAACCAACTAGTGCCATTACCTCTCAGGCTATGGAAGATGGAAAATATCCCATTCTTTAAGATACTGGAAGGGAAAACCAGCCACACTGAGTACAGAGGGGAGCAGAAGTTTCCAGAAGTACATTCCAACATCCAGATAACTGTTTCCCACTGTATTGAACAACCAGCACGCACATCATACTGGAATTTTCATTTCTGTTTTTAGAGAGCCCTAAGTAAACAACCTCTACAGAAAATGCAACTGCTTTCTTGGGTTTAAACTCACCCCTATTAAACTGTCACTCTAACTGAAGGAGCCACATATCCTCTGCCTGACTTTGATGACGTCATTAGTTCTGTAGCCATCAAGATGAACGAGAACTCTGCTGGCCAAGCTTACATATTTTGTCATTGGTTGTGCCTGATTCTCAAGGAAAGGGTAAGACAGTACATCACTAATCAGTCCAAATGCTACGAGAATGCAACCCTGGTCAGGCAAGAAACTGTTAATATTGCTGGAAACGCAGCTATTGTAGGAATACATCCAGCTTGCCGATGAACCCACGATGACAGTACAAGCATTCTGCTGTAAACAGAGAGGAACTGTCAGCAGCCCGGCAAATGTCAGCATGGCTTTTAGAGGTTTATGAACAACATTCAGAGATGTCGTAGCCGCAATATTTGACTCTAAATTCCCTTTTCATGTGTTGGTGCTAGTGCCTCAAATCTAGTTATACCGGTGACACTGAGAGAGTAACCTGATCTAACAGGGACAGTTTGTTCTCTTCATCACCTTCTATTGATTCTGTGTCCTCTTTCCTCCCGAAGAACGGCAATTTAAGGACTCGCGTCAAAACTGCATTGTTTTCCTTGCTCCTCTTTGGCTCACCAACTTTTCTTGGCACCAGAGGCCATATCCAACAGCTGCAGCTCCAACCACACTTCCTTGGGAATAAGTCTGGGCAAACCCAGTGGGATTTCTGAATAAGCACACACAGGATAATGATGAAAACACCTCCTCGATGAGCAACAGGGTGCACCTGAGACCCGTGAACGCCCTCTTCCCAGGTGGACTACTCCAGCATGCACGGCGGTGCTGCCTTACTGCTTATTACTACACTAATTTGCTAAAATGGGCTGCGCCGATATATATTTTTAAAAAATCCATGTCCGTGTAAAACTGCACTTCTACCCCCACATGACAAACCGTGAAATACTTTTCCAAAAAATACGAGAGTGCTGCGGGGAGGGGAGAGAGTTAGGAAGAGAAATCACACTTCTGGCAGCCTGCTAAAGCTCCTCACCTTGGAGAGACAAGGTGTAAAACATTCAGGGAGCTATTTAAGCACGGCGCTCCGTGCGCTACCGTGACTCAGCAGACGCAGGTGCTGGATGCGGTTTCTCAGCCTGCACACCCGTCCGCCAGCCCAGGCTCTAACTTTGCTTTGGAGGCCTAAGCACTTTTGCCTCTTGACATTTTGCTGTTGTTGAAATACAACTTCACTTTCGTTGCTGCAGGGATGCTCAGATATGGCCTGGCACAGCTTGGTGTCTTCCACACCTCTGAGCAGAAGTCCTCTCTTGTTCCCAGTTTTGCAGGGAAACATGGTGTAGAAATATCTGCCATTTTAATTATTCAGCACTTTGTGGACTTCCTCCCACCCACCAGACCCTTCCATAGTTTCAGCTCATTAGCAGACTGCAAGTTATTTTCTTTAATTCAAGACTGAAAAGTTTAGCATGTGCACATAATTTAAATACACATTTAGAAGCACTCACTAGTGCGCACACACCAGATTTAGCCACAAAAAGCTAAATGTGGAGTACAAGATTCAAAGCCTGCTGAAACTGGATGAGAGAAATACAGGTTTAAAATCTCTCCACTCAGCCATGAAAATGCACTGCAAAGAGGATAAGCCCAGCCAATCAGTCCAGCCTACATCCTAAACCTGTTGCAAGGCTGAGATACTTCTAAAGGCTCCTTCGAGGACGGGTAAAGGACAACACTTCACAGAGGACCAAAAAGCCAGACCCTCTGGATACTCCCTGCACCCTGTTGTGGTGAGAGTTTTCATTATTTGTTTTATAATTTTTGTATTGCCCAATAGCCGGTCACAATGCAAAAGATACGATAAAAGTGCAGTAAAACACAGCATAAAATTCCAATACACAAATTATAAAGTGCTTACAATTCCAATATACAAAAATATATGACAGTTTAACATCTAAAACAGTTTCAGGAAAATGAGAGCTCATTAAAACACCTGACATAATCTATCATATGCTATTACTGATGTGAATAGAATTGGTAGAGGATACTTCAGGGACTAGCCTCCAAAGAGGAATCTGATTTTAAAAAAGAAAATGGAATACTTGAAAATCAAGGCCACTAGGTGTACCAACACCACTTAACCAACAAATAGCTGCTGATATACCTACAGAGTGCCTTGCAATCATTAGCAGCTGTTCTGGCAAGCCCCTCTACAAAGCACTCATGGTCTATCTCTGTAGATCCCATTTAACTAATGGTAACTAGAAGCTTCAGGCACATCATGAAAGGACTCGTTGGAGAAGATGGAATAACTCCATAAGAAAGAAACTCCACCCTGGAATTTGGAAGAACTGAGCAGGGCTGCCATGGACCGGATATTTTGGAGTGCTGTCGTTCATAGGGTTGCCTTAAGTTGGAAGCGACCTGACGGAACATACCGACAGCAACTAGAAGCTGCGAAATAAATGCCTCCTTGAACAAGTCACCATAGTCATATTCTAGAGAGAAGCACAAGTAGTGTGGTAAGAGCCAGTGCGGTATAGTGGTAAAGAGTGCAGGACTGGGACTCAGGCGACCTGGGTTCTAGTTCCCGCCCAGCCATGGAATGAACTGGGTGACTTTGTGCCAGTCACAGAACCTCCGTCACCAGGCTATTGTGGTGAGGACAAGATTGAGAGGAAGAGGAGCTTTATGTTAGCCAGCTTGAGTTCCTTGAAAGGAAAAAAGGTGGATATAAATATAATTAATTGATTAATTAAGTAAAACTATCTCCAATCGTTGTGTGTGCATATCCCCAAGCTGTAGCATCTCATAATGAATGGCAAGCTACTCTTGATTTATTGTTAGGGGGCAGAGAAGTGATTTTAGAATAAAACATGCAGAAAAGAACAGCACTGAAAAGGAGAGATTACCTTGCTTAAAATGGAATAGCATGTGCTAGGAATAGCATGGCCAGGAAAAACCCCTTTGAGGGAGGCTCAGGGACCATCAGTTGGCTGTCCTTGCCACCGCTTGGCCAAGGCCTACAACCAGGTGCAGACAGAACTACAATGAAAGGGAAATTCTGGATGCAACTCCATCAGAACAAAATGAACAGAATTATCAGCCACCTGTCAGATAAGCACTTACCTTCCAGACATAATTTCTCTCCATATATCTTGGGCATAACATGTTCTATCAAACCCCCTCCCCCAGCATTATACAACAAGGGACCTTCCTCCCATCAGCCTGTTTGTACTATTACCTCTAATATCCAAAGGGCATTAGAAGCTCAGGTACCATTTGTAGCACAAACTTGACTGCGCGCGTGCGCGCTCTCTCTCTCTCTCTCATTCTCTCTCTTCTGGATGACTGTAAAGATAAACCGATTACTAAATGAATTGCGGCATCTGCTATGAATTTGTTCCAGTAATCCCTTGAACTTTCTTCAAATATTTGCCATCAAAGGGACCAAAGCGATTTTCTATACCTTTGGTAGATTAAATGCCAGCTTCAGCATCTGTAGGGTGCAACGGAAATCCATCTAAACTTTCAGCTAAGAATGATCCAACTACATGTAAAGTTTAGAAAGCTGGGTGGGCAGATTTCCACCTTGTGTGAGCAGCTTAGAACCCGACAGTATATTAACTGGGGTCTAGTGCAAAGGGATGCACAAATCCATGGGGGAAAGAAACAGAGGGTCTGTGAGGAGATGCTCAGCCCCAGATCCATGCCCCACGCAGGCACACACATGCCATATGCTTTGTTTCAGCTGCCTAATTTAGAAAAACACGCCCCTTCATTGCTGGTACTGTTAAACCACTTGTCTGCATATCACCCTGCAAAATATTGGCACTTTCCACTAGGCCCTGGTCCTCAGAAGGCCTCCAGAGGAAAAAGGCTTTCCTTGTGTCCTGGCCAGTGTGGCAAATGCAGCCCCTTTTCTCACCATGTACGTTAACAGTGAGCCAAGTGAACGCAGAATCAAATTCATTTTCTCCCAATGTGGCGGCTCATTAAGCTTCCCACAGAGAGGTGTGTTTTTACTCCCCAACCCTGGGCCAAGCCATGTGTTCAGGCTGGCTGCAAATGTGGCTCCATGGACACCTAGCTATCCGTAGGCCACGCCAGAACCTCCTAGTCACATCCATGCAACTAGTCCTCTTCGCCTTAACCCACCTGTTCCCCATCTCTCTCTCCCCACCATTCTACCAAGTAAAATGGCATCCAAGGTGGCTTACAAATAAAGCAAGATTTAAACAACAAAAAACAAATGCATTCAAGCACACTTCCTTTTTTAAAAAAAAGCAGAAAAGAAACACTATCCAACCTAAGAGATCCAGCTACAGACTAAAGGCCTGCCCCTATAAAAGGTCTTGGCCTGTGGGAAGCAATCATCTCGCCCTTCCCTCAGTAGGGAATCCCACAGGCTGGGGGCTGCCACGAAGAAGTCCCTCCTTCGCATCACCACCAAATGCCTCTCTTTACCCGATCCATTCACTTACTGTGGCTGAATTCGGAACATGATGAGCTGTGTTTCCACATATGGCTCAATTCCTACAGGTAACAATCTCCACACAAATAAACTTTATAGCTGAAATTTGAGGAGCCACCCCAGACCAAACCTGTCTTTGGAACCACCCCCACCAAAAGCAAATGACATTCTGGGTGTTTCTAATCAATCACTCAAGTCAAACTTTTTTTATATATAAATTGGGAATCTGAACATGACCAGAACCAAAACAAAAACAAAAACCAGCCACAATAAATACTGCAAAATACTGACAGCTGTCACAAACAAACAGAACTGAGACTGCAGGCGTTTTGAGCACTGGCTTTCCTTACATGGGAATGCTTTTTTCGCAACCTCTGTGATAACTTTTTAGTTATTTATCTGCCACCTTTTGGTGTGCAACTTGTTTATTACTTGTCTTTACCACCCAACAGCCAAAGCCTGATTTAAAACTTATCAGATACATTTCTAACACTAATAATTACATAAAGGATTAAAATAGTTTATTAAGTGAACGTGTACAGATAGCAAGCATGTATGACTGCTGCATAAATATATTTACATTCTTGGCTACATAAATAAGGCAGGCCGAATATGTGCCTTTTTAAAGGACACCACGAGAGAGACTAATGGGAATGAAAATAATCCATTCTGCACCTTCTTCATAGAGAAATGCATGTGCTGCTGATGGGAGGTCAGCTTCCCCAGAGAGTTGCATGAATTATCCTTGATGCAAATCCACCCTGCTCGCATTTCCTGTTCTGGCATTATAAAAACTGCTTGCAGTCATGCACAAAAGTGGGATGGATTGATCGATGTTCGCCACATAGGTTGGAAGCCTAGTCACCGCACTAGCCATTTAACGCAGCATGCAACTTCTGAGAATACTGCTTGTTTTGGATTTCACTCTCAGTGAGCCTTATATATGTTTAATAGTGCATTTAGTCATTTCTACTACATGGATATAAGCGGGGATGTTTGCTGAGGGTACAGTCCTATCACCTCTGCCCTAGGCGGGTGCAAGACGCCCACAGTGCCTCACCCTCTGCGTCTGATCTGGACGGACGGCTGCCTCCGACCAACTAGAGAAAGAGCCCGGGAGAGACGGACGCTGGTATGCCAACAGGAATAAATGTAGGTCCATGGCCCCGGTCTTCTCTCCGCCCCCACGCACACTGCCGTTCCCCTCTCTGAGGTGGATTTCCACTCCTGGAGGTAGAGGTGGGGGGCAAGGTGAGGGTGGGGCTCTGGCCGCACCGCTGGGGCTCCAAAGACTCTTCAGCCCCCCGAGATTATGCCAGGCAAGCAGAGGGCCAAACCCTAACCCTAACTTAATCATATTGTGTGCCCCTGGCTAGCATTCCATCTCAGCTCTAAATAGCTTTAAATCCTTGATATTCTGATGGTTGGTGTTCTTGCATTCATCAGTAGCTAAGGCATGTTTGACAAAAAGAAGTTATTTAGCTCGCAGCATTCCCAGTCAGTCAGTCAGTCTGACTGGGGAATACTGGGAGTTGCACAAGCTTTTTGCGTCTAAATATGCACAGTATTATACCCTAAAGGAGTGTGCCCCCAAAAAATAAGTAACTGGAAGTAGGCAAGCCTCTAACTTAATAGGTGGCCCTGGAAAAGATAACAGCAGCATGGCTGAAATAGGAAGTAAGTTTGGGCTGGAAGATCTAGCGGAAATTTTACTTTTTAAAGGGGAATGAAAGCAAATGAAGTGTAAATTAGTGAAGCCACAACTTTGCAACCTTATTTATTACATTTATATCTCACCTTTTCCCCCTTTTCAAGGAATCCAAGGCAATTTACACAATTGTTCTCCTTTCAATCTTACCCTCACAAACCTGTGAGGTAGGCTGGGCTGAGAGTTTGTGACTGGCCCAAAGTCACCCAGTGGGCTCCACGGCTGAGCGGGGACTAGAACCCGGATCACCTGGTTCCCAGGCCTGCACTTTTAACCACCACACCACACCACACCACACCACACCACACCACACCGGCTCTCTTATGTGGGCATCTCTGTGGGCATAAGATGGAGAGCAGGAGGAGGAGAATGATGTAAGCCACTCTGAGTTCTTTGATAGAAAAAGGGTGGGATATAAAGCTAACAAATATATAAATAAATGGGAATCAAAGATTATATTGACAAGACTTGTGCAGAGATAACTAACACCTGTTTTTTTTACAAGGGTTATATTATCTGCATAGTATATATAAGTTATTCCTACAACTTCTTGTTTGGTTGCACAACATCGTTTTATGCAGCTGCTGATAACATGTTTTCCCAGTCATTCATGTTTCTACCTAAATCCTTGTTTTTCCCATGTCAGCATCTGCAAAATTACACAGGTAAGAGCAACCTGGGAACAACTACTCCCACGGACCAGTGGATAGCAGTCAACCTCAAAAAGCAAACAATAGTTATTTGCTCAATAAGACAAATCACCAGTGCAGAAGGTAGCCCTTCGCACCCCCATTTTCCAGGCTTCTGATATAAGATGACACAAACAGAAAGCTTAAGAAAAATTTCTGCGTATCAGCACATGAAGTGCACACCTTGTTCTTTTCCAAAAATACCTGCAGTCTCGACCAGCCCCACTTCCTGTTAACAATTACTTTGTTGTTGTTCTTGTAGGAGTCGGTATTTTCATTTGCTACACTATAGTTTCATAAGCACCTTTGATTCTAATCAGATGCAGTTGTGAAAGTGCAACAGAGAGTTTTCCACACCACCACACACAAAAACACTCCTTGTAAAGATCATTCATGGTCTTCTGAAGCGTTGTCTTGTACTTTGTAATTCAAGACATATTGTTCTTGTGACACACAAGGCCGATGCTTCATTGTGGTATCCCTTCCCAAGGCAGTAACATGATGGAACGGAGATGCTGCCAGGCAACACTAGCAGCCGAGATGCTTCCCATATTGTTTTGGTTCTATGCCCTTTCTGTTCAGTAGGATGGATAAAAATCAGATTTTTAAAATTTAAATTGGATTTTTTAAAAATAAAATGCTTTTTGAGAAAAAACCAATCTATAGTCCAATGGTTATTCATCATAAAGTAAGGATTAGTTTTTAATTATCCTGAGTGAGGATACAGAGTGAGGCTGTATGTTCATGCAATGGTTAATTTTTTTAGTAAACGAATTCCATTAATCCATTTACAATGTCATGTTCTTGCAGGCGTTTCTGTAAGATTATTGGGCAATTTTTCTATCTAGAAGATATTATCACAGTTGCTTGGTTTTACAGTTCTCAGAAGTGTGAATTTGTGTCTGCAGAGATCACCTGCCTTTTTTCACAGCAAAAAATGTTATAAAACAAGCATACAGAGTTGAGAAAAAGACCTTCATCCCACTGTTCCTTTGTAAATCTATGTACACAGAAACAACTTAAGTGCTAAGTTTCAAAAAATACAATGAATAGAAGAACATTGCTGTGAGTGGAATAAATCTTCACAAGAAGCTAAGTGTGAGGAGGCACAAGTCTTTGGATCTTTTTGTGTATAGCCTGAAGTTTATCATATTCTTTCCCTGGAGGAGGAAACCTGTAACAGCAGCAGGCTGTAGAAGAGATGCAAGTTTGGGAATATATTACTACAGTTCCTCTACCTAAGGGTAAGACAGTCATGCAAGCAAATCATGCAGAAAGCCGTGCTTTAAGCTAGCCTTACCAACTAGTGATTGAGATCAGATCCATCCTGGTAGATCAACAGCATTCTCCAACACAGTGGACCCCTGGCTTCAACCAGAGCTTACTCCAGACTGCACCATTATACTTAATCATGCATCACAGAAAAGTACCTCTTCCAAGATCTTAAAGTCAACTGGAAACACTGGTTGAACTCTGTATACACACAGGAATCCCAGCTTTCATTATAGCCTCCCTTTCTTCCAAAGCCTAGAATGAGAATCTAAATGCATCACCAAAATGGTTCCAGAACATGGTGCCCATCTCTCCCTGCCCAGTGTTTCCTGAAAACCCAGAGTTGCTCTTATTTATCAATTCGTTTGTATTTATATCATGTCATTTTTCCTGCATGGAACCCAAGGTCATTAGCATAATCTTGCTCCTCGCCTCCATTTTATCCTCACTACAACCCTGTGAGGTAGCTAGGCTGAGAGTCAGTGACGGGCCCAAGGTCACTTTGCAGCCAAGCAAGGACTAAAACCTGAACCACCCAGAGCTCCCTGCAGTGCAAGGTTGGAGAGCCGAGACTGCCAGTGCTGACTCATGAGTTGGCAGCAGCAATTGCCACTGCATGCCATGGATCAAGGCCAAAAGAGCTAGCCACCACCGCCTGCAGCAGGGAATGCTTCCGACAGCCCTCTTCAATGCCGTTTGACAAGAACTGTAAGGGGAGCGCTTGATCCACAATGAGTCAAGCCACCCAGGTTTAGACAACATGAAAATCTATTGTGGGCCAAGCAAATTCTACTGCGAGTCATGGCTTGTTAGCGAGGCTTACAGCCCTGCAACCAACCACCCTGACAAACCCATCCCAGGTGTGCTCTACAGTCCAACAATCCACTGCGGCTTATAAGCTCCAACAGGTTCCAGTGTTGTACAATCCCAGTCCCTAAATGTCACGACACCTACTTGTTTCTCTGATGAGAAAATTCCAGCAAGTTACCATTCACAAACCCATATTCCACTTATCAGCGAACAAATTTGATACATACATCAGCACTGCCTCTGACTCAAGCATCTGAATGCATGATTACAGTGCAACTAAAAAGATGAACATGCACACAACGTCACGTACAGCTGCAGCAGCCAAACAAGGAGAGCATCTTGCATTGACTGGCTTTACAGCGCAGCAGCTACAGGAGAGGTTTCAGTCCGACACGCGGGCAAGTCGTAACAACGAAAGACCAGCGGGACAGGGTGGAAGGTCTACCATGATGTTAACTGTCTTGCCCCCAACGTGCATGGCAGTTCGCAGGGTGCACACGGTCAGGGTTCTCACCCCAAGGGACTTTCGGTCTACCACTCAACATGGGGAGCTGGAGACAGCGGAGGAAGAGAAGGGATGGAATAACTCTGCAAGAGTGTTACTTCAGTAACTTTTTTTTTTGTTTATACAGATTTTGTATGCCATTCTCAAGGCTCAAATTGGCTCTCTGAACAGTGTCCAGAAACACCCATACACTAATATAATAAAGTACAATAAAATATAATATAGTAAGATAATACAATAATAACTGTGTTTCCTAACATCCTTTAAAGGCAGCTCCCAGAGGAGGACCTCAGAAAATGATCTTAAGGTATCAGTAAGTACATATGGGTTGAGACATTGCTTATTCAGGTCCTAAACCATTTAGGGCTTCTTATGCCAATGAAGAAAGTTGGACCATAAGGAAGGCTGAGCGCTGAAGAATTGAGGCCTTTGGATTGTGGTGCTGGAGGAGACTCCTGCGAGTCCCTTGGACCGCAAGGCGATCAAACCAGTCAGTCCTAGAGGAGATCAACCCTGACTGCTCCTTAGAAGGCCAGATACTGAAGATGAAACTCACACACTTTGGCCACCTGATGAGAAGGAAGGACTCCCTGGAGAAGACCCTGATGCTGGGAACAATAGATGGCAAAAGAAGAAGGGGACGCCAGAGGATGAGGTGGCTGGATGGGGTCACTGAAGCAGTCGGCGTGAGCTTAGGTGGACTTCGGGAGATGGTGGAGGACAGGAAGGCCTGGAGGAGTGTTGTCCATGGGGTCGCGATGGGCCGGACACGACCTCGCAACCAGCAACAACAACATGCCAATGAAAGCACCTTAAAGTGGGCCGGGACTTCAACTGGCAACCAGTGACAATGGAAAAGGACTGGCGTAATATGCTCTTGCATGCCCGTCCCTGCCAGCAGACAAGCCTGCCTGTTCTGTACCAACTGAAGCTTCCAGTCCATTTTCAAGGGCAGCCCCACATAAGGCCAAGGGGTGGCAACTTAGAACCCCTGGCCAATGACCAGGCTGGCTGGGGCTGACGGGATGCAGGGGGCACCCAGCTGCCTACCCTGTTTTGAGGTGGGTTTTTAAGCCTGGCAATAATCACAGAACTCCTTTTTCTAGCAACCTTGAAGACCACAACTTCTGGTCCTGGCTATTAAGTTTTTCTTGGGAATGAGAATATATATTTATCACTTTGAGAAGGAGCCAGATGATATATATATCACCTCAAGATATATACTCAAGATGAAACAGGAAGAAGAAAAGTCTGAACAAATCATTCCTCTGACACAATCCCCCAGGGCGCCAATTCCTTCACAAGAGGGATCTTCCTCAGGATTAAGCCCCCCCTTCTCCATTTGCTATAGTACCAATCCTTATTAGGCTGCCTTCCAGTTAATGGCATTTGCATTTAAAAGGATAGGGGGGAAATGCAAGCAAAATGTAGAGAGACATTACAAGTCAGGTCTAGTTTGCCTCCACAGCAGGTACTTAGCATGCAAAAGGTCTTGGGATCAACCCCTTTTGGTGCCTGATACCCTGGAAAACGTTGCTTGCCCGTGTAGACAGTACTGGAATTAGATGGCTCAAGGTCTAACTCAGCGCAAAGCCACATCCTGTATTCTCAGAATAAAGGCGTAACTGGCAAAACAAGAAAGGGACAACGCATACTTGTCACAGTACACGGCATTACGTACCACTCAAGAAGAGCTTTCTGCCAACAGTTCCGGATCCAGAGCCAGTCCGGGACTGAGACAGAGGCTGCCTATGGCAACCTCGCAGGGGTGAACGGGAATCCTGGTTAAAGATGTTCCCAACAGCTCTGTCACCCCGGATCAGGCAACACCTTAATCCAGCAAATCAGACACCAGAGTGTGACCAGTCCAGCACCCCAACCATTGAGCTTCCAAGAAACGGAAGCTGTGATTATGGCAAACGTAGCACAAACAGCACATGCAAAGTGCTGCAGCCCAAAATGCCCGCGCGTGGACTGAAACCACGCTGACCCACAACCTGTGCTCTCGATCAAGTAATTAGGAGAGCCCTCCAGCAAACGGTGATTCAACACTTACGCAGAGAAACCCATTAATAATCTTAATAAAATGTCTTTCATGAGAGGCAGCACCAGAAAAGAGACACACAGACCTTCCGATTTGCACCTACAGCCTCAGAACTCGGCCACTGTGACCCTTTTAAGGCCATCTGCTTTTTTAGAATGCGCCTACATATTTCCGCACGTGAACATCAGTTAGTCTGCTAAATACCTCCTACATTCAGACTGGGCAGCTTTCTCAGCTTCAAGGAACGCAAGGGAAAACATTTTGCAAGCCAAAGGGCTGTAATTCATTTGCACCCTGCAAATGAAAACCTTCACAGTCTGCAAGATGGGTGGATGCGCTAGATCCATTTACAATATGAATACAGAAATTGAGGCCCTTTGTCCACTGGAGCCCATGCCCCCAGCTCTTCAGCATCATTTATTTTGTCAGCCTGTCTGCAAAGCATCCCAAAAGGACAGACCCTAATAAGACCACCGTAGTAAGAGTGTGTGGAGCTACATGGGGCCGGCATAAAGTGCTTACCCGCCTTCTTCCAACAGCATGTGTGTCTTCGGGAGAACTACAGCACAAAGTCTGGTGGCCACGTGAGATGATAGTTGTTTGTTTGTTTGTTTGTTTATTAAAACATTTTTATGCCGCCCCATTCGCCAAAGCCTCAGGGCGGCTTACAACAATAAGTTAAAATAATTATAATCTTAAATTAAAAAATATAAACAGTAGATTAAAAATACAAAAATACAATATAAAATAAGCCGCCCTGGCCAGATAAAATTCAGTAA